GTAATCCAAACAGCATGGTTCTGGTACCAAAACAGACACAGAACAATGAAACAGAATAGAGGCCTCGGAATTAATGCCACACATCTACAACCATCTGATCTTTGACAAATGGACAAAAGCAATGGGGAAAGTAGTCCTTGTTTAATAAATGGTGTTGGGAAAACTGGCTAGCCATGTGCAGAAAGCTGAAATTGGACCCCTTCCTTACACCTTATACAAAAATTCACTCCAGATGGATTAAAGATTTAAATATAAGACCTAACACCATAAAATCCCTAGAAGAAAACCTAGGCAATACCATTCAGGACATAGGCATAGGCAAGGACTTCATAACTAAAACACCAAAAGCAATGGCAACAAAAGCTAAAATGGACAAATGGGATCTAATTAAAGTTAAGAGCTTCTGCACAGCAAAAGAAACAATCATTAGAGTGAACTGACAGCCAACAGAATGGGAAAAAATTTTTGCAAGCTACCCATCTGACAAAGGGCTAATATCCAGAATCTACAAAGAACAACAAACAACCTCATCAAAAGTGGGTGAAAGTTATGAACAGACACTTCAAAAGAAGGCAATTATATGGCCAATAAACATGAAAAAATGCTTATCATCACTGGTCATTAGAGAAATGCAGATCAAAACCACATTGAGATTGATATCTCATGCCAGTTAGAATGGCGATCATTAAAAAATGTGTAGGCAACAGATGCTGGAGAGGATGTGGAGAAATAGGAATGCTTTTACACTGTTGGTGGGAGTGTAAATTAGTTCAGTCATTGTGGAAGACAGTGTGACAATTCCTCAAGGATCTAAAAATAGAAATACCATTTGACCCATCAATCCCATTACTGGGTATATACCCAAAGGATTATAAATCCATCTATTATACAGACACATGCACATGTATGTTCATTGTGGCACTGTTTACAATAGCAAAGACTTGGAACCAACCCAAATGCCCATTGATGATAGACCTGACAGGGAAAATGTGGCACATTTACGCCATGAAATACTATGCAGCCATAAAAAACAATGAGTTTGTGTCCTTTGTAGGGACATTGATGAATTTGGAAACCATCATTCTCAGCAAATTGACACAAGAACAGAAAACCAAACACTGCATGTTCTCACTCATAAGCAGGTGTTGAACAATGAGAACACATGGACACATGGAGGGGAACATCACAGATTGGGGTCTGTTGTGGGGTGGGGGACTAGGGGGAGGGATAGCAGGGGTTGGAGAGATTGGGGAGGGATAAAATTAGGAGAAATACTTAATGTAGGTGATGGGGGGGATGGAGGCAGCAAACCCCAATGGCATGTGTATACCTATGTAACAATCCTGCAAGATCTGCACATGTACCCCAGTACTTAATAAAAGACCAATTTGTGATTTTCTATTCTATATTGTTTTAATAAACTAAATAGATATTTGATATTTGCTAATTTATACACACTTGTGTCCTTAATTTAATAATCCATCTGCATTTTGATTTAGTAATGCATAAGTTAAAACCAATGCTATATCTAACGTTAATTTCTTTTTAGTTTACACCACCAGTTTTACACTCCATTTGCTGTCAGTGAAAATGTAGGCAGCAGACACACCAGGTAGTTATTATCACTAAGTTCCCTATATCATATAGGAAAAGTACATTTATATGCCATACAGAAAATCTAACACACATAAAGAGCCACTTAGCACTTTTAAGAACATATCTGATGTATTAGTTAGCTTAAATATTTTTTAGTAGAGTTAGACCCCCACGTACAGTGCATACATTCACATAAATTATCAGAACAATTCCTTGTGCTGATAAGTGAGCATCTCTCTTCTTTGTGTATGATGGTAAAGATCAGACTTGATAAAACTTTTCCCTTTCTGTTGGAATTCTAAATCTTGATACAATTAAACCATTCTTGGAGTTCTTCAGATAAAGTTACATTCTGGAAAACGTTTTTCTAAAGCCTTATTTTACATTTACATTTATGTTTCATCCTGAGTCTCTTTTCTTGAAGTTTCTGTTGTTGTTCTCTGTTCTAAGCCCATGGTGAAGTGGGGGAGGGGTGGGGACTCTTCTTTATTTCTGTTTTCCCTGTGAATTATATGTTTTTCTGTAGGCTCAACCATGTAAATTGTGTGTGTGTGTGTGTGTGTGTATTTTTTTTTTTTTCCTGAGATGGAGTTTTACTCTTGTTCCCAGGCTGCAGTGCAGTGGCGTGATTTTGGCTCACTGCAGCCTCCACCTCCTGGGGTTTAGCGATTTTCCTGCCTCAGCCTCCCAAGTAGCTGGGATTACAGCTGTTCGCCACAATGCCTGGGTAATTTTCTATATCTTTAGTAGAGATAGGTTTTGCCATGTTAGCCAGGCTGGTGTCAAACTCCTAGCCTCAGGTGATCCACTTGCCTCAGCTTCCCAAAGTGCTGGGATTACAGGTGTGAGCCACCACACCCAGTGTGGTGTATTTTTAAAAATATGTACAATGCTTGTTAGATTTTTTTCTCATTGTAATATTTTATAGCATTTAAGACATATAAAAATATAGTGTATAGTTTATATGGATACTGGCTTAAACTTGAGAGAGTAGTAATAAGAGCTAACGCAAATGTGAAATAATAGGGAAGTGAATATAATTTAATTGATATATAAAGCATAAAGAGCACACGAAAGTGTTTTTTTGTTTTTTGTTTTTTTAAAAATATTGTATTAGCATTTATTTTGCATGCTATATGAAATCAGGACATTTTAAAAAGAAAATGTCCTAGCTTTTTCCTTTAGTGAAACAAAACAATAAGAAATTTTATGTTTAAAAATGTTTCAGTTTCCTCATATTTTTAGTTTTTCTCTCATTAATATACTAATATAGCCTCTATCTCTCAAAAAAAAACCCCACAGAATATTTAAAAATTATTTTTCCTTGCAGTACATTCTAAGATCCTGCTTGTTTAACAATGTTGGGCAAAGTTTTTGCAATTACTCTCTTTATCTCCTGTGTTCTCCTTTTTTGAGTTATTCCTTCCCGACTGGAACTATCTTATATAGTGGTTCCATTTTATTTTACTTTAGTTAATTTCCTCAGGTGTATTTATAAATTTTGTTAGTGTAGTATAATTTTTAGTCTCTGCTCTTTATTCTTCCCTTTGTTTTCAAGATTTTAAATCATTACATCTTCATGGAGAACTCTAAAATCTATAGTTCTACATTTGACCTCATTTTTATGTTTCTCTCTCTCTGTCCCCTCACAGTGGATGTCTGGAACCAGGAGCATCATCCTGCCACTGACCTGTTTGCCGCAATCAGATCCAGCCATTCTTTGTTCCCTCCTATTATCCTTTAGGCTCTTTATCTTAGATCTAAGAATTCCTTGCCTTGTCCTCTCTTACCCATGATATCTCATTAGTTAATGTGTTGTCTTTGTGGTTTTTGCTTCTGCCAGTTCTATACCATTCTCGAAAGTCTAGATGACTCCTTTGCAGCCTTATTTCTGGAATACTTTAGAAGTCTCTTAATTTGTATCCCTGCTGTACTCAAAATCTGTCCTATGCATTGCTGTCAGATTAATCTCCCTATAGCATTGCTTTTACTCAGATGATCTCCTACTTAGGAACCTTCATTGGCCCCACTTGGCCTAGAGGTTGCAATTTAGAATTTTCAGCCTGGTATTTAATGTTCCCTCATGCATTTTTCCTAATGTACAGCTTTAGTTTTTTTCCTCCTGTGGCCGGTAACAAAAACGCTTTCACTTCTGTAAGGATAGTCCCAACATGCTGAGAATATTTTTACATTGGCATATCCTTCTTCATTTCACAGTGTTTTATGTCTTTTCTACATTTTGCTCTGTGATAATGATGTCCTTTCTACTTTTTTTTGTCCACCTAAAGCTTACGTACTTTTTCCAATGTGCAGCTGTCTTGCTTCCTCTGTGAAGTCTTTCTACAGTGGCTCTGCTGTGATTTCATCATCTTCTGAATTGCTGTTTTGCTTTGTTGCTACTCACAAAGCACTTTCTATTCAATATTTTGCACTATTACTTGCTTTTATTTTTTGCATGGGTCTAGGTCCTATGTTGCTGACTGGATTATAAGTGTTATGCAAGCAGGGACCGTGTTGTATTTCTTTACATTTTTCCTAGTCAAGAAATGCCCACTTATTTTTTTTTCCCCGTAAATCTTAATTGGTTGTCTACACTTAAGCACCATTGATAAAAAGTTAAATAAGAAAGGTATGGATTCAGCTTTCATGGACTTAATATTCTGGAAGAGAGAGAAAGATGTTCTGCAGCTAATTTCATAATTACCTACTTAGTTACAATTGAGGAATGTGGTTTGTCATTTTTTTTGACAAGCAAAAAACCTAGAAAATACCTTCCTTTTTCCCCTGTCGTTGGTATTTATAATTTTTCCTTACAAACAAATTTTGATAGGGTAAATTATTCTTGAAAGTGTGGGTTTTCAAATGGTCCAACTTAATTCTTTTCTTCTAAATATACATGATGCTGTATATCTGGGTAAGTTCAGTAGACAACATAATGGAAAGAATGATACGTGCCTGATATTAAAATAATTTTAAATTTTGTGTCATTTATGTGATACGTAAACTTGTGAAATAATTAAAAGATAATGAAAATAATTCCAAAAGGAAGATTTTCTAAACTAAAACCATTAGGAATTGTTAGTTAATATACTAAAGCTCTCTTTTGTAGCAGAATAAGATTAGATTAAAAGTAGACCCGTTATTCTTAGATATGTTATTTTAGCCTCAGGATTTTTTATTGTGGCTTGAACAATGTCATATATTTCATAGGTATGATTTTTTGAGATTGTAATAACCATAGAAAGTTAATGTTGAAAGAATGGCAAAATATGCAGTAAAACTAAAAATTATTGTATTTGCAAATATGAAAAACATAATTTACATAAATGTTATAGTTAGGAACATTATGAATGTAAATATGCTTTCTCTGTTTTTTGTCTTGTAATGTCCAATTCTTTGTCCAGTTAGAGATGAAGAATGATGCTGAGATGGCTGTTAAGCTATTACAACAGCTTTAAAAAAGTTAAATATCATTGATGTAAATATTAGAGAAGAGAATATTTATCTCCACTAAGTGACATGAAAAACTGTGGTAAGAATAACAGGCAGTGGGTGTATCTTAAGTAGTAAAATCCCTGAATTCAGATGCTAATTATAAGCACAAGGACACTTGCCTCCCACATACTTAAATGTTGTATATTTTCTTTAGTCAAAGTGTAATTGAGAGTTCTTGAAGTGCTGAATATGGCCTTTGTTTTTTTTATTTCCCCTTAGCATATATATTAAAAAAAAAACAATAAGACACTTCTGCTGGACTGTGATTTTGATGGATATAGGTGGAATATGAAACCATATGCTATAAAGATAAATTCAAATGATTGCTCTTGGATTGTCTTTATTGTGTGACTTTCCTGCTTCCTACTATTGAAAACCAAATGTTTAGTAGTAAAGGTAAAATTATTTAAACATATTTGAGCACATTTTACTTGCTATCTGTGGTTTACCAAGGACTTTAAGGCTTAGATTTTGAAAGGTTGTATTAATACTGGTATTAAGAGTATATCTGTTTAGATTATTCTGGACTTTAAATTTTATTTACGACATCATCTCTGGCATCTTGTCATAAAAGTTATGTGTTGTTTTACTTCATTAGCAGTTTTAACATTTGTAAGTATCTGAGAAGAAAACTTCCTCTGCATTTTGAACAGTGCCTTTCATTGGTGGTTTTCTAACAGGTTACTCAGCTGTTGAAAGGTGTGTTGTACAGATACTCTGTTCTTAGAAAGTAATAGTCTTTTAAGTTGTAGAGTAGTAGGAAAAGTCTGATAGACTTAAATTATTTTAAAAACTTTGTTTTTAGAAATAGAGGTATAAGAAAACCTTTTGTAATCTTGCCCTTTTTTTTTGTTCTTAGGTATGCTTTTTATTTAGCTTTTAGTAACTTGTAATTTAAGATCACAGTTATTAGGTGTATTTCTGCATTTTATATATCACTCCCAGATGCTATAGTATTAGTTTTTATCACTGCATATTTTATGAAATGTCAGCCTTCTGTTGGCTGTTCAGGCAGCATTGTTAGTGATCAAAGACACAACATAAAGGAAAGGAATCTAAACAGTTGGCTTATCTTTGTCCTTCATTGTGACAAAAGTACTCTAAAATTACTTAATTATAAAATGTCAAATAAAGGCATCATGTAACATGTAAAGAAATAAGTATCTTAGTATTTAAGTGAAATAAAAACTCAGTGTTTAATATCAAAAACATAGTTATAAAGAGAAATACTATCTAATTTACAAAGTTTTCCTTGTTAAGGAATGAGGTTAATATGTCGTGTGTAATTTTGTAGTACTTTGCTAAAACATAATGCTTTGCCTAGAAAAAGCCACATAGTTTTTGACATCGTAAGAGGTTACTCAGTATAAACCCTTAATTTTGTTATACAAAATATGTTCTAGAAAATTGATTATTAGCTTTAGTGTGTGCATTAAGTTGTATGTGAACCAGTTTATTAAAGTGTTTTCTTAAAGTGATCTACTTTGCATTTAAAAACTACTTCATAGTAGGAACCATTCTTTAAAAAATGAAAAAAAAAAGTAAAACAAAAACTACTTCATAGATTTAAAGATCCTTTTTTTCCTTTATTTCAGTATCAAAATAAAAGTATGGAATGGGAGAAAAATTCTCAAAGCCTGAAAGAAAATCTGTAAGAATAAAATTCTTGAATGATTTTGATCAGCTGTTGTGTATGCCCAACACAGCAGTTGGTTCAATCAATTTTATGTTTTGGGATGGTTTTATTAAAATGAGCTGCTGCTTTCAGTAAATCATTGAGAAAGATGCTGGCTTTATACATGTCTTTTTTGGTTGGGGGCAGGGCATACAATTGCAGCCTTGTAAGTCAGTAAAATTGGAGACAGTTCCTGGCTGCCATGAAAGTCAGTGTGTTGTATGGGCATTTGGAAATAGAAGTAGAATGAAGATTTAGACTAAAAATGATTTTATATAAATGTACTTTTATAGCTTTCTGCAGGAAACTGCCATTTCTAGTAAAAAGTGATCATCGGCAGATAATAGGGATTTAAGTGTATCTTCAGTTTTGTGTACAGTTTCTGTTTTTATAAATGAATGAAAGTTAATTGTTTACCAGTGTAAGAATTAAATCTTTGGAAAGCAATTTGAAAGACATAGCCATTGCATATGAGTTAGAGGCCTCAACATTTTGTCTTAATATGCTTTATGCACTTACTACCCAAACTATGGTCTGTGTTGGTGTTACTTGAGAGCTTCCTAGATATGCAGAATCTTAGGCCTAATCCCATACCTGCTAAATTAGAATCTGTGTTTCATCAAAATTCCTAGGTAATTCATATGAGTATTAAACTTTGAGAAGCACTGCCATAATTTAGACCTCTCATTTTCTCTGTGTGTATGTGTGTTTTAGTTGTGGGGTGCTTATATTGGAGTTGGTCACCTGCAGTTCAAGAATTGGAAGAGGAAGTGGAAACTCACACCAGAATTTTAGTGGGCACCCGAGAGTAGACAGAGTTAATTTAGAGCTCACAGGCTTTTGGTCTTTAAGCAATTGCAGTTTGAATCAGTAGCTACTTTGTATATTACATAGAAGGCTTCATGTTACCCTGGTAATATTAATCAGTTGTTTGAGCATGGCAGTATCCTCTCTTGTTCTCAGATACTTACGATGTTTTGTGCCAGTCATAATGTAGTAACATTTCCAAAGTGTGTTCTACGGTATATTTTTTTCTAGGAGATGCTTGGAGTGTAAAGATCCTATGGTCACATAAATCTGGAAAGCACTGAATACTTTCTTTCCCATAAAAGAATTAAAAGACCCGAGAACCTGGTGTAATTTAGTTCAATTTAGTGTTTTCCCAATTTACTTGACTATAGCATCCTCTGTTTTGTTTTGTTTTTTTAAAACAATCTTTAAATTCTTTTTTTAACGTGTGCACAAACTGACTTCTTTCCACATTTATCTATCTTAGTCAAAATAAGAGATATGGACAACTTCTGAAATTGTCATGATGTTATGGCACATAAAACATACTTTCTGGTATTTTACCTATAAATGGTACTGGTGTAGCTCTTGTGTACTGAAGGGGCTAAACATGCAGGCATTTTTGAGAATTGGAGTAACTGAGAAGTCATAATGTAGAATAGGAATCCCCAATTCCCTGGTCATGGACTGGTATTGATCCATGGCCTGTTAGGAACCAGGCTGCACAGCAGGAGGTGAATGGTGAGCAGGTGAGCATTACCACCTGAGCTTTGCCTCCTGTCAGATCAGCAAGAGCATTAGATTCTTGTAAGTGCGCAAACCCTATTGTGAACTGTGCATGCAAGGGATCCAGGTTGCTCATTCCTTATGAGAATATAATGCCTGATGATCTGAGGTGGAACAGTTTAGCCTTGAAACCATCTCCCCCCAGCTCCCTCCTGATTCGTGGAGAAATTGTCTTTCATAAAACCAAAAAGGCTGGTGACTGCTGAATTAGAAAGTGAGCATTGAACTGATGCCAGTCAGATTTGATGGATGAATGAAAGGGAGAAAACTGACTATTCCTAGTATTTGCTGGAAAGAGAAAAACCATGAACAATGGAATAAATTAAACATTTCAGTTGAATAAATGTTTACGGAATTGCTAATAAAGAATAGGCTCTGTACTTGGCCTTGGGCAAACAGTAGTGTAAAATATACAGTCTGCCCTCTAGTTGCTTATTGGAATGAGCATAGTACATTCTGATAAATGTACAAGAGCTGGAATGCAGAACATAGGATTTTCCTTGTGGATTTATTAAAAGAAAAAAAAAAGTTGGCCAGAATACTATATCCTGGAGTGCTAGAGACAGGACATAACTGTAGTTGTAGATGTCTCTGGTTAAGAGAAACAGGAAGGGACAATTATGGGGCAGAATTTCAAAAGGTAAGATTGGGAAGACCAAACAGCCTTGGAAGACTTAGAGCTTTTCGTACTCAATTGCCCAGATTTGGTTACTTGAAGTGCATGACAGTCCTCCATCACATATTTGAGACTCCCTTAATTTCTGCCAAAAGAAGTTCTTGCAGGGTTATCTTTTATCTGTTCTACCCCAGCTCTGGAAACAGCCATTTCTCTGAGGAACTCTGATTATTTTTAGGGGGGAATAATATTAATGATCAGGATCTTGGCACTAGTGTGCTGATTGCTCCTGGGTCTTGGCTTTTAGGCCCTTTTAGAGGACAGAGGTAGGAAATATATAAGCTTTATGTATACACATACATCTACATTTATACATATATACACAAATGCATCTTGCAACACATACATGAACATATACATCAGCAAATTTTTTTTTATTTAGAGATACACCAGTATTTCTAAGCCATTTGCAGAGGTTTCTTTCCTGTTTGCTTTCATATTTATATGTTCCTTCTTTCACAGTGAGAACCTTGGCTTCAAACGGCATCAACACATTCACTTTTTTGTTCATCTAAATAATAGGTCTAAAACAGTTTCAAGATTGTTTAATCATATCATTATAAGAACAAATATACCAAGAAAAGCTCGAAATTTGTTTGAAGTTATCCCTCCTTTCTGTACTCAATTCTTTAGGTATGTAACCAAATACTGTTCTCATAATTACTTAGCTCATTCTCTCTTATTCCCTAAATGTGGCTACGATATTAATTTGAAATACAGTTCACTTGTTTTAGTTTTCTTTCAGCTTTTGTGCTCCCTTTTCATTACATCCCTGTTGATTTAATTTTTTGACTAGGTAGAAGATTATTTTCCAAAAAGTAAAACTGAACAAGAAAGTATACTCAGAAAATTGTCACTCCCTCCTCCGCATTCCACCCCATACTTTGTAGGAAACCAATTTTATTGTTTTCTGGGCTTTACTCATTTTTATAAAGATATGCAGAGATATGTATGTTTTCTTATTTTCCTTTTTTTTCTAAAATGTAGCATATATGTTCTTTTGCAATTCGCTTTTTTCAGGTATCAGTATCTCTAGGAAATTGCCTCATAACAGTTCATAGAGATTTTCCTCGTTCGTTTTTACAGGTGCTTACTACTTTCTGTGTACCATAGTTTGTTCAACCAATCTCTTATGTTTGCACATTTAAGTAGTTTCCAATATTTTACAACTACAAATCTGCTGCAATGGTATGTATTTTTCATAGTTTTACAGTTGTATATTCAGGGCAAATTCTTGCAAGTGGGATTGCTGGTGATAGGGCAAATACTAAGCCCGGTGTGGTGGTTTGCACCTGTAATCCCAGCTACTTGAGAGGATCCCTTGAGCTCAGGAGTTCAAGGCTGCAGTTAGCTATGATGGAGTCATTACTCTCCAATTTGGGTGACAGAGTGAGACTTTGTTGCTAACAAAAACAACAAAAAAGAAAAAAGGGCAAATACTTACCTGGTTTCATTAGCATATTACCAGGTTCCCTGCATGGAGGTTGTAACATTTTGCCTCCACCCCTGCAGTGTATAAGAATGCTGTTTCCCTACAGCCTTCCAAACAGGGTGCATTCTGAAACTTGAATTTTTGCCAAGTGGTAAGTGAGAAATGGTAGTTTGGGTACATTTAATTTGCATTCATCTTTTATGTGTGGAGTTGAATTTCTTTTCACATGTTTAAGGGCCACTTTCCATAGGATATTTGGGCTTCCCCACCTTAGTTTTAGAAGTTCTTTGTAGGGATATTGGGAATTTATCTATGATACATGTTGCAAATGTTTCCTTCCAGTTTGTTACCTGTTTTTTGATTTTGCTTATGATGTATTTTTGTCATGCAAAAGTTTTATGGTTGTACTTTAGTCCTAGTGAGAAAGTCTTTTCTTTTATAAATTCTTAGTTTATAGGAGGAATCCCTCTCTCCTGCCTCCCCGCCAATTTAAAAAATACTAGTAGTTTTCTTACAATTAGATCTCTGATCCATTTGCAGTTTATTTTTATGTATGGTGTGAGAAACATTGAATTTTATCTTTTTGTCTATTCATTTGTTTAAAATGACTATAACTGTGCTAATGATTTGTTATATCACCTTTACAGATATTAGATTTCTATCTGTAGTGGAATCTATTTCTGGATGTTCTGTTGCACTGTTCTGCCTCTTCATGTAGCAGTCCTATACTATTTTCATTATAGAAGCTTTATACTATGTTTTAACGCCTGTAGTATGTGTTAATGAGGTAGTTCCCTCATGTCTATTTATTTTAGTGTTTCCCAGTTTTTCTTGAACTTTTCTATTCGAACTTTAGTATCAACTTGTCTAGCTCCATCAAAAGCTTTATGATTCGTAAGTTTATGACCTATTGATGTTGAAATGTCCTAGGTAGGTAGGGCATTTCAATATCAAAAATCTGTCATTGGTTATTTCTTTTCAGTTGTACAGTCCTACATTTCTATGTTTTAAGAATGTTTATTTTTCTTCATGTAGGTTTTGAACATTTCTGTTTATTCCTAAGTATTTTACCTTTTAAAATTACTATTTAAAATGGGGCTTTCTCATCCATTAGGTATTCTACTTAACTGTTATTTGTACGTAGAAGTGGGACTGATTTTTTCATGTTGATTTTGTATCCTGCTGCATTGCTGAATTCTTTTGTTTTTTGAGTTTTATTTTCAGTTTTCTAGGATTTTCCAGGTATTCCTTCAGGTCATCTGAAAATAGTTTTATTTCCTCTTTTCTAGTTCTTTTGTGTATAATTATTTTTGCTACTATTTTTTTTTTTTTTTTTTTTGAGACAGAGTTTTGATCTTGTCAGCCAGGCTGGAGTACAATGGCATGATCTCTGTTCACTGCAGCTCTGCCTCCTGGGTTCAAGTGATTCTCGTGCCTCAGCCTTCCTAGTAGCTGGGATTGCAGGTGCATGCCACCATGCCCGGTCAATTTTTGTATTTTTTTTATTAGAGACTGGGTTTCACCATGTTGGCCATGCTGGTCCCAAACTCCTGATCTCAGGTGATCCACCCGACTTGGCCTCCCAAGTGCTGGGATTACAGGATTACAGGTGTGAGCCACTGCGCCGGGCCTAAACTAGTTTTATTTATTCTTTTCAATTCTTTTTTCTTTTTTCTTTTTTTTTTTTGAGACAGAGTCTTACTCTGTCACCCAAGGTAGACTACAGTGGCATGATCACACCATGCTGTAGCCTAGACCCCTTGGGTTCAAGTGATTCTCCCACCTAAGCCTCCCTAGTAGCTGGGACTGCAGGCACACACCACCATACCCAACTAATTTTTGTGTTTTTTGTAGAGATGGGGTTTCCCCATGTTGCCCATGGTCTCCCAGTGTGCTAGGATTAGGGGAGAGCCACTGTGCCCTGCCTTCTTTTCAAATATTATTTCTTAATGTTTTCAATGTTTTCTTTAGTCTAATTGTGTCAACAAATATATTCAGAATAGAGTGGTATTGGGCATCCATGCCTTGTTCCTGAACTTAGTGAGAATGAATAATGTTTAGTGAGAACTGTCAATGGGAGAAAAGATAGAAACTTGAGATATTGCATTATTCTTAGTGCTTTATAGGCATTATAACAGAATCATCTATATTATTTCTCTTTCTTTTTACAGCCAAATTTTTTGAAGGCATTCTTTCTGCCTGCTAACTTTTCACCTTCATTTTCTTACCTTCCATTGTTACTCCTTAAACCATACCAGTCCACTCTGGTTTCTCAGTTGTCCAAACATGTACCAACTAAAGTTGGTATTGAGACTTCCGTGTTGCTAAATCTAATGGACCTTTTTTTCCCCCTATTTTCATCTTACTTTTCCTCTTAATATTATTCAACATTGCAGAGCAGGCCTTCAGCTAAGTCTGCATTTTCTTCTTAGCTTCTGTAACATCACATTCTTAGGTTATTTCTTCTTAGTCTTCTCCATTAGTTCTTTCTTCTCTGCTTAACTTCTAACATTTGCATATTCTAGGTCTCCTAAAATTCTGTTCTATCTTCTTTTAAACTCTATTCATTGTAAATCTTTCTATATTACATTTATTGTAAGAGTGACATCTTGAGTCAACACTTGCTGAAATCAGGATTTATGTCTGCCTATCTGCTATCCATTTTCACTTTGAGATGTCAAAGTCACTTTACAATGTAAGTTCTAATCCCTCCTGAAACACCTCCAGTTTTTAGTATCATCATGTAATCCAATGGATAAGCTAGAAATTTAAGATTCATGTTTGATTTTTCTTTTTCATTCATCATCTTTATTCACTTCATTATCAAGTTCTATTGAACTTCTCTTTCCATTCCCTCCAATTTTCTCTAGTTTTATTGATTGATTGAGACAGAGTTTTGCTCTCATTGCCCAGGCTGGAGTGCAGTGGCACAGTCTTGGCTCACTGCAACTTCTGCCTCCTGGGTTTAAGCATTTCTCCTGTCTTGGCCTCCCAAGAATCTAGGATTACAGGCACCTGCCACCTTCCCCGGCTAATTTTTGTATTTTTAGTAGAGATACGGTTTCATCATGTTGGCCAGGCTGGTCTCAAACTCCTAACCTCAGGTGATCCACCGCCTTGGCCTCTCAAAGTGCTGGGATTACAGGTGTGAGCCACCACACCTGGCCCAATTTTCTCTAGTTTAAAACAGAGACTTTTCTGCTAGAAGAAACATCACACTTACATGTCTCTATGTGTTCTACCAATTACAGCCATCTTTACATAGAGACATACAAGTAAGATTAGAATTAACCTTAAACTATCTTGTTAAAGGCACTGATTGCAAGAATAACAAATTTGAGTGGTCACTGAGTGCTTAATAGTAAGTGAGATCAGATTTACTTTTGCAGCACTTAGTAAGACTGAAAAAGTGGGAAGAGGCTGGGTGCAGTGGCTCATGCCTGTAATCCCAGCATTTTGAGAGGCTGAGGTGAGTGTATTGCCTGAGCCCATGAATTTGAGACTAGCCTGGTCAACATGATGAAACACCGTCTCTACAAAGCATACAAAAAAATTAGTCATGCATGGTAGAGTATGCCTGTAGTCCCAGCTACTTGGTAGGCTGTGGTGAGAGGATCACCTGAGCCTGGGAGGTTGAGGCTGCAATGAGCCATTGTCACGTGACTAAACCTAATAAAGTGCCTGTAGATCCCCTTGGGTATCCTAAAGGGATGATCATGTCAGAAAATATGGCAACTTTTTCCCCCTTTTTGCTCATTATGTATTTTGTTTCTTTTTTTCATCTCACTGTGCTATCTTGAAGTTTTAGTATAGTTGAGTAAAAGTGATGATAATGAGCTTCTGTATCTTATTCTTTTCCTTTTTTATTTTTTATTTTTTGAGATGGAGTCTTGCTCTGTTGCTCAGGCTGTAGTGCAGTGGCAAGATCTTAGTTCACTGCAACCTCCACCTCCCAGGTTCAAGCGATCCTCCTGCCTCAGCCCCCCAGTAGCTGGGATTGTAGGCACTTGCCACCATGCCCAGCTAATTTTCGTATTCTTAGTAGAGACAGGGTTTTGCCATGTTGGCCAGGCTGGTCTTGAACTCCTGATTAAAGAGCAGTGCTTCTAATGTGTCACCATTGTATATTATGTTTCCTGTAGCATTTTGGAAAGATATATTTATTTCCCTTTATCACATTAAAGTGGTTTTCTTCTAGTTGTAGTAAAAAGTTTTTCTTCAATTAAAAAAGTCATGAGTGGTGTTGAATGTTGTCAGAATACTTTTTCTGAAGTATTGAAATGATGCTATAGTTTTTCTCCTAATGGGTTTCCTAAAATACAGTATTTTAATAACAGAAAATCTCTAGTAAACTTCAGAAAATAACTGCTCACCTGTTGTTCAACAAAAGAGCAGTTATTTTTCTTTTTGATTACTGTAGATCCTATTCTGGATAATGTAGGCTATAGTGTGTTTGTGTGTTTTTTGGGGGAGGGGGTTAGGGGTGCCAGAGAATTGCATCTCTTCAGAAGTCAGCAGGAATGATGCTGGATAGGGGACTAAGATGGCCCATTATGAATTTGCAAATGTACTGAAGTTTATTTTTTTCTTTAAGCTCAACATTGGTTTCTTTCCTTCATAGTCTCTGGTAACTGAAGGTTTCAAATGCAAAAAGAAAAAGAAATTTATAGTTAGATCCAGGTGTATTAAGTTACTAGAATGAAGACAGAAAGATTTGCTAATGTGTATTCAAATTTGTGTTGAGTTGGAAGTAAAA